TGTTTTATAGAATCAACTGTTATTACTGTCTTTTAACTCTCAACCTCCCCCCCTCCAACCCATTCCAATGAAGGATACAGACAGAAAGCTTGGCAAGAATCATTTAGTACACTTCAGTTCTACAAGAAGTACTATTTCCAAACTTATCTAAAGAAGCTAAATGTGGTCCTAGTTTTAAAAATACTTATAGTGCGGGAGCTTTTTATTGGTAACCTATTTTGGAGTCAAGAATTCTAAAACTGGTTTTGTTGTAATAAATAAAAAAATATTTTTAAAAACATGGTAAGAAAGACACAGTGCTGATCTTTTCAATATCTCTCTTGAAGAAAGGTGACCACTTGAGAAGATTTAAAAAACAAAACAAAACAAAACAACCTCATAGTACCTAAAGAAAGTCAGATTTTTTAATAGCATGCCAAGCTTTCCTATAAATTTATTTATAATATTTTGAGAGGAACAAATAATCCAGAAGAGCTTTTCTTTTTTTCTCAGAGAGGTTTTTGCTATAGGGCGTGTGCACTCGCCAGAAAGAAAGAGACAGACAGAAAGCGAGAAATCACCCCCAGGGGGGTTGGCCACACCACAATCCCTTTTCCTCCATCCTCCTCTCAGGATCTTGGGCATGCATCACACATGCCAGGCGTGAGTTTAAGCCACTGGGTCCAGGACTCGAACCACAGTCAACTACATTGGAGTCCAGCGACATAGCCATTACACTAACTACTAGTCCCTCAAGAATTGTTTTTCATGGGAGCTTGATTTTTCTAAGCCAAAAAAGAAAGTAATCAAATAATCTTTATAGTCTCTTTCTTCAAAGATGCCCTACGATTAGTCATCTCGTTTGTCTTCATGAGGTAATTGTGAAGTTAAAGAAGATGGGTTTTAAAAAAAAAAAAGATGGCCACTCCCCCAGGGGTGGTTTTTCACTTTCACTCTCTCTATCTCTCTCTGTCTCTCTCCAGCTAGCATACATGCCCTATGGTAAACAAATTATTTTTTGAACTTTAAACAGTATCCAAATAGGAAGAATTGCTATCAGGATGCCAAAAACTCCATGTAATTATCCAGAATCCATGGTCTGTGAACGTAAACCCAGGAGATATCTTCTCACAGGAAATTATATAGTCGTTGTGCATTTACTGTATCTAGAGTGGAGAAACTCCTATATGAACTGTCTTTTTTCCTTACAGAGTATATCTAAGACATTGCTACCTTCTAGCAAAGTTGTACATTTGCATAACACAAGCACCCATTCTTATCTCAGATTTCTTTCTTTTCCATTCAGTGGATCCAAGTAGGTTTCCATTTCCTCTTTGAGCTCAGGGTTCCTAGCACTTACTTGCTGCTATGGTGACTTTTTTTTTTTTTTGGAGTGATTTTCGCTATAGGGTGCGTGCACTCGCCAGACAGACAGAGACATAGAGACAGAAAGCGAGAAATCACCCCCCAGGAGGGATGGTAACGCCACAATCCCTTCTCCTCCATTCTCCTCTCGGGATCTTGGGCACGCACGCACACGCGCCCAGCGTGAGTTTTAAGCCACCTGGTCCAGGACACGAACCGCAGTTGACTACGTGGGAGTCCAGCGACATAGCCATTACACTAACTGCTAGTTCCCCTGATATGGTGACTTTTAACGAGTAATAACCTCCACAACATTCTGGGAGCAGGCAATTGCTTTTTCAGTCCCAATTTAGTAGCTGCTGCCACAGCCCTTACTAAGCTTACTCTGACTGGCTGGAATGGGTTGGATCGCAACTGAAAGATCTCCGTTTTCAGAGTCCCAAAATAAAGCCATTACTACTTATTGCTATACTCATAGAGGCCTACAGAACCTCTGTCACGTGTTCATGACACTATTACGGAATACTATAAAGTTCTCAGACAAGTTCCCTGGGGGCTCTGGTAACATCTACTTGCTTACTTTCTGTATTACTTTGAAACTCAAGATTAGTATTTTCACTTTTGCACGCATGAACTCAAGATTCATTCTCCTCTTTCCCCTTACCAATAACTAGGTCTTTCTAATTTACTTGTTTCTTCTGAAAGAGAGACTGGCACCCCAACTGGACCCCACCCTGTGATCCAACCCATTTTGGCCAGCAGAGCTCACGGGCATACATGTACATACATGCACCTGGCATGCTCAGGGAGGTCCCAGGATGCAGACTCAAAATCTTTCCCATGTGGGTTCAGATGTCTTACCTCTGTGCTACCACCAGGCCCATCAAGACCTAGTTTTTTAATTATTCACATCTCCTCCACAGAGCTCTTGTGTTTTCAGGAAACCATCCGACCTCTAACTCAGAATTGTCCAGTTTAGTTTAACCGTACAATTTATTTCTCCAGCAAAAATCACTAGTGTACATGTGACCTAATTTAGTCTTGTTAGGCTAAATCTCAGGACTTCAGCTTGCAAAAGCTAGAAAAAGCACTCTTTCTCCCCCTGCTGGTCCGAGAAAGTTTGACTGACAGCTATCCTACTAAAACAAGTATGTAATAGAACTTGCATGGAAAATAATTGCCTTCATCAGAGTCTCAATTTGGAGGACTCTGTATTTATTTAAAAAATAATAAATGGCCAAATAAATTGAGAGTCTCCTCTGAGTTCCATATTTCTTTTTTTCTTTTTTTATTGTACATATATACTCACTGGTAGAAAAGCCCTATCCTTTGAGAGTTGGCTTTATTTTTTAAACACCTAAAAGTTACTCAGAACCAAGAGTAGATAGGCAGGTGATTAGTTTGAGTAATAGTGTTTTTGTTTTTTTATGGTTTTGGGAGGGGATGGACAGTGGTGCAGTGGTAAAACTCAATGTTTTACAAGCAATTCCACATGTGAAGCTTCCAGGTTCACATCCAGAGACTTCCTTAAGTATGATTCCAGGTACAGAAATGCCCATGATCTGGGCCTGGCTGAAGCTGGGGGTGGATAGTGGTATCAAGATCCTGTGGGGGTGCTGTCTCGCTCAGTCTCTATCACTGTCTCTATCGCCCACAAAAGAAACAAATTTAGAAAAACTATCTTTTCAAAAAGAAGAACTTTTTACATGTAGATGGGTTTCTTGTTGTTAACACACTGATCTTAAAGGCAGCATCTCTTTTTGAGCAAATATAATCACCTACAATCACTGTGAGAAAAAACCCTTCACTTCTTAATTCCACGTTAGTGTACTCTAGCTTTTCTCTGACATTTAAAAATATTTAGAGTCTACTTGCAATTTTGAAATAAATAAATCCTTAAGGTCAGCAAGTGGCATGGCGGGTAAGATACTGGACTCCCACATGGCTGACCATGGTTTGAGTCCTTGACCTGGCAATTTGCTTTCTCACTCTCCTTCTCTTTCTGGGACCAGCAGGTGGTGTGGTGGTTAAGGTGCTGGACACTCCCACATGGCCAATTATGGTTCAAGTCCCGGACCTGGTGGCTTGCTTTCTCACTTTCTCTCTCTCTCTCCGCTTCTCTCTGGTCAAATTAAAAAAAAAAAAAATCCTTAAAATAGTTTAACACCCGAACATTTCTTAAGTGCTAAAATTTCGAGCTTACTTTGTGACATTGCCAAGGTAACCCTAAACATGATCATGTTAACACCTGCATATGACATCACACGGTTAAGACACTAAAGAGGATGTTCTGAAACTGAATGTGTATTTGGCCTTAGTTTGGTGCTCTGAGCCAGGCAAACAGGATAGGCCAGATGGCTCCATATCTGTGTGACTCCCACATACCTTAGATGCATTTGGAGTTCCTGTTTTATAGAATCAACTGTTATTACTGTCTTTTAACTCTCAACCTCCCCCCCTCCAACCCATTCCAATGAAGGATACAGACAGAAAGCTTGGCAAGAATCATTTAGTACACTTCAGTTCTACAAGAAGTACTATTTCCAAACTTATCTAAAGAAGCTAAATGTGGTCCTAGTTTTAAAAATACTTATAGTGCGGGAGCTTTTTATTGGTAACCTATTTTGGAGTCAAGAATTCTAAAACTGGTTTTGTTGTAATAAATAAAAAAATATTTTTAAAAACATGGTAAGAAAGACACAGTGCTGATCTTTTCAATATCTCTCTTGAAGAAAGGTGACCACTTGAGAAGATTTAAAAAACAAAACAAAACAAAACAACCTCATAGTACCTAAAGAAAGTCAGATTTTTTAATAGCATGCCAAGCTTTCCTATAAATTTATTTATAATATTTTGAGAGGAACAAATAATCCAGAAGAGCTTTTCTTTTTTTCTCAGAGAGGTTTTTGCTATAGGGCGTGTGCACTCGCCAGAAAGAAAGAGACAGACAGAAAGCGAGAAATCACCCCCAGGGGGGTTGGCCACACCACAATCCCTTTTCCTCCATCCTCCTCTCAGGATCTTGGGCATGCATCACACATGCCAGGCGTGAGTTTAAGCCACTGGGTCCAGGACTCGAACCACAGTCAACTACATTGGAGTCCAGCGACATAGCCATTACACTAACTACTAGTCCCTCAAGAATTGTTTTTCATGGGAGCTTGATTTTTCTAAGCCAAAAAAGAAAGTAATCAAATAATCTTTATAGTCTCTTTCTTCAAAGATGCCCTACGATTAGTCATCTCGTTTGTCTTCATGAGGTAATTGTGAAGTTAAAGAAGATGGGTTTTAAAAAAAAAAAAGATGTGTGTTTCATTTTCTGCTTTAGAAATAAATTTGGAAAGTATCTAATGAAGAATCATATTTTCTCCTTATGTAAACAAAGTGATGAATACAATTTTAAGAAGCTTTGAGATTTTTTAATATGATTCAATCACTTAGATCCAAAAAATAAGATAAAATTGTTATGGACCCAAACTAAGGAAGGAAGTTTGTGCCTAAGAGTCCCTCCTTTTAATTTCTTCTGATTAAAAATTTTAAAAGTGTCTACTGTATAAAAGGAAACAAGAGATACGATACAAATTTAATTGTACATAGTGCCTAGCATATACCATGAGAAGCAAAAAGTTCATCCACTAAATAAATATGACAATGAGTCATTAAAACCGCAAACCACTTTATTCATCACTGATGCCAGTACCCAAAGCTGTCTAGTTAGAAATCTATCTTCTCAAGAAAAAGAGAAAAACACTGAAGAAAGATGCAAAGAATTTTCAGAGTGGAATCATGATTCCTGACAGCAAGAGTAAAGTCCACCTCAGTGACTAGAACAGAGAGTTACCTAGAAATAAGGAAAGATGGAAAAGGAACAAGGATGAAGGACAAAGGCAAGCAATATGAGCAGAGTCATCGGTAAAGGTGAAACTGGAGAAAACCGAGGTCCCTGGTGGTGGAATGAATTACGCATGCGGTAGATACATCTGCAGTGGTACTAGACAGCAGGATCTAGATTTAAATTCAAGTATTTGATTTTTAAAATACTAGAACTCTAAAAGTAAGATTATGAGTCTAGTCATGTAACATCTAGAAGTTTCCTTATTTGCTCATTATCTTTACTTTCTCTATAAGCCTATTAAGCAGAAGGTTAGTAACAGCAAATGTACTCTCTTCTCTCTTGGTTTAAATTTTATAGAGGATTTGAAGAGGCTGTGGGTCAGTTGAGATCACAGTGGGAAGAGCTTGCTGAAGCAGGGCTGACAATAGGTCTTGTCATTCTGCTCCCTGAAGACACCCTTTGACAACTGTGTCAGGCAGAAAGCACACACAAAGTGCTCAGGATGAAACTTGTGCCCCATGGCACTGATGCAACGGCCAGTGATAGGCTGCCCACACCCATGGCATAGGGTTCCTCGGCGGTGATGGTAATGGAGCTCACAGAACGGACGTCCATCCAGTTCAAAAAAGGAGCCAGTAGAAAAACTACTGAAGCAGTCCTGAAGGTGAAGAGAAGACACAGAAAATGAATGCAGATATCAAGAGGTAAAATGTCAGCAAGGTAAAATTTCAGCATTGAGGGGTCAGCAATTGGTGTGGTGGTAGAGGCGCTGGACTCCCACATGGCTGATCACAGTTCGAGTCTCAGACATGGAGGCTTGAAACTCATGCCAGATGCATGTGCATATGCATGTATGTCCAAAATCCTGAGAATGGAGAAAAGGGGGTCGTGATATGACCTTCCCTCCAGGGAGTGATTTCTCACTCTCTCTTTCTCTCTCTCTCTCTCTAGTGAGTGTGTGTACCCTACACAAATATCTCTATTAAAACAACAACAAAAATAAGCTTTGAAATTCCTCCCAGTTACCTGATAGCTGTAGGGACTTCACTAGAGTCCATGACAAATGGAGGCTAACTGCCCACTTACAAATTAGACAAGCAAATACCTACAATGGATAACATGTCTTGTTTCTCTTAGAAAGTCCACACCAATTCCTCACCCAGGGTGGAGAACACCTGACAAAAAAAAACAATGAACTGAGTATACAGACCCCACACACAAAGCACTCTGGGTGCCAGACAGTGTCCATGGCTGAAAGGTAGTTTTCCAACACTGGGCGATTGCAGCCTCCACACTTGGGTGAGAACATGGCTAAGAAATCCTTTCGGCAATATGGCTTCTTGTCCTTCTCATGAAAGCCTGGAAAGAGAAAATCAGACTCACATTGCAGTTTGAATACATAAACCTACATTGCAAGCTGAGAAGAAACTAGTCTAGTATTTCTCAGAGAGTTATTGTAAGATATAAAGGAGATAATGCAGGTAAAGTGTTTTAGCATTGTACCTGGTTCACAGCACCCATGTAGTCAGTGTTAAGGGCTTATCCTTTTCAATGGCTTGGTACTATATATTGCCTTGGCCTGCACAGCTCTTCTCCAGATCTTGATACGACTGGCCTATTCTTGTGATTCCAAAATCAGCTCAAATATTATCAGACAGGCATCTCTTCCCTCTCTGTCACATCATTTTTAAAATCCTCTTTATAATATTCACCATTACCTGAAAATATCTGTATGGTCTGTCTTCTCTTACTCGAACAGTAGCTCTGAGACAAACTAGATATTGTGGGTCTTACCACCATTATGTCTCAAGTATGTAAAATAACATCGGGGGAAAAAAGGTGCCTAATATTTAAAAATAAACTACCACTAAATAATAGTTATCTGTTGATGATAATGTTATATGGTAACTCTTTGATTTGATTGACATGCAGTGCATGCACGCTGGGCAAAATCATGTTGAAAGTTGCAAAGATGTGCAATGATTAAATGTAGACAAAAAATCCAACACAGCGTAAAAAACACAAGTTTCCAAATGAATGAAAAGTCTAAGCATAATAATTCAAACCATATAAATAAATGAATTAAAATGGATGGATTACTCTTTAATCTGTAAATGGCAAAAACTGTTACAAACACAGCTCAAATTTCAAAAGCAAATTAAAGATTAATAAATTTAGCTACATAAAAAATATATGAATGCCTATGCTTTTCAAAAAATAACCATACAGTGGACCAGCAGTTAGTGTAATGGCTATGTCGCTGGACTCCCATGTAGTCAACCACGGTTCACATCCAGGACGCGGTGGCTTAAACTCACGCCGGGCGCATGTGTGTGCGTGCATGCCCAAGATCCTGAGAGGAGAATAGAGAAGGGATTGCGGCGTGGCCATCCCCCCTAGGGGGTGATTTCTCGCTTTCTATCTCTCTGTCTCTCTCTCTCTCTGGCGAGCGCACACGCCCTATAGCAAAAAAAAAAAACTCTAAAAAAATAAAAATAATAAAAAAATACATAAAGTCAAAGGCAAAAGACAATCTAGTAAAACACTTGATAATTATATTTCAGAAAAATATAGCTAATAAAGCACTCTTAAATATGTGTTTCAATTATTGTTACGTAAAATTTAAAAGTGAAAAAATTAGAACAAAAAGTCAATCACTAATAAACAAAGTAAAACAAATTAACTATAAATCAAACTGATGACATGACCAAGAGAAAGAAATTCATTCAAGTGACTTTCAAACATAGCTTTGGGTAATCGGAAAAATGAATCATGATTTTTCCAATGACCCAATATTTTACCCAGACAGTTGCAATGGATGTATTGGAAAAAAGAGCTACCAAGAAAGCTTAAATATTTTTTATGGAAATTTGCTAAGAAAGTAGCTTTGATGCTCTTACCACAAACATACAAAGGGAACTATGTGAGAGGATGGATATGATAATTTGCTTGCCTATAGTAGCTCTTTCATTGTGTATATCAAAACTTCACTTTAAATATATTCAGCAAAATCTAGTTAACTGCAATGTTCCTTTTGAAAATATTATAGGTATATTGTATAATAAGGCAAATAATTATATCAGTGCCTTTGGAATGCAAGAGTTCTAGTGTGGGGGAAAAAAGACACATATATAAAATCAAACAAGTTTTAAAAATCTAATTTTACACTTAAATCAGAAATATTAGTTTGAATTAATTATTTTTATCTTTTGTAAAAAGATAACAATTCTAAACTTTGTTCGCTGAAATATCGAGAAGCAATGACATTACAGAAATATTGAACATTCCTGGTATCCAAAGTGTGGTTTCTAAATGCCTCCATCAAAGCAGTCTTTTTGGAGAAATGGATAATTTAAAATTACAAATATGGGGCAGGGTTGCCAGAATAAGCCTGATAAATCTTGTGTACCAAGTAGATGAGATATAATAGATTACTGGAGTCACGTAGTAATCGAGGATATATTCGGTCATTGGGAAAGCCATGATGTATTTTTCGATGCACAAATACATTGTGACTTTACTGACAACCCAATAGTAACCAAGTTAAAGAGGTTCCCTCTGGTCTTACATAAAACAATTTTAGCATTAAAAGAAAAAAAAAAAAAAAAAAAAAAACCAGGGCCAGCAAGTGGCAGGGAGGTAAAGGAAGCTGGATCTCACATGGCCAACTCCACATTTGAGTTCCGCTGGAGAAAATCATGTGAGTGCATGTGTGTACATGCCCAAAGTCCTGAGAGGAGAGTGGAGGACAAGGGACTGTGACATGGCCATCCTTCCAGGGATGCGGGAGAGGGAGGGGGAGTGGGGGATTGGGGGCAGCGGGTTGCTCCATTTCCCTCTCTATCTTTGTCTCTGTCTCTCTCAGTGAGTGCACATACCCTATAGCAAAAACTAAGAAACTAAAAAAAAAAACACTTCAATTAAGCAAATATATATAATTCCATGAATTCATAATAAATTTTAATAAAAACTTAGTCTTTATTGAGTATTGTTTAAAAAACCACTCATTACTCTTATAAGAAGGGTCACATATTTATCCCCTCTTTCTTATATGAAATGTATTTGAATATAAGCACATCATTGATAATAGAAACTTAATTTTTATAGGTGCTAGACAGTGGCAGAGCAGTAAAACACAATGCCCTGCAAAGGTGACCCATATGGGAAGGTTCTGAGTTTTTATTTAGAGACCTCTGAATATAACAGGCACCAAGGTTCCCAATATCTGGGGCTAGCTGAGGCTGGGATGGATCTTGGCATCAAGACCCTGTTGAGAGTAACCCGGTTGAGAGTGTTCTTTTTCTTCCTCTCACTCTATCTCAAAAGCAATAAATAATATATAAAAAAAGAAAGTTAATTTCTTTAAAAATTGCTGTAGGGTATGTGTACTCACCAGAGAGATAAAGAAAAGTCGAGAGAGTGAAAAAAGCACCACTCAAGGAAAGGCCACAAGGTCCTTTCAGGATTTTGGGCGTGCATGCAATATGCATCTGGTGTGATGTTCAAGCTACCATGTCAGGGAATTGAACACTGTCAGCTATGTGGGATCTAGTTGTCTTAACCACCATGCCACTGGCTAACCTGAAAGTTAATCTGTATAGAATCCCAGCTAAGAAATATAGAAAGAATGATAGGAATTTTAATATTTTGTAACCTAGACCATTGGATCTAGGCAACAATCAAGAGAACTTTAAAATGGAAGGATCAGGCTGACACTGATTGCAGTGAATCTCAGCATCACTGAAAGTGGCCAACCAGTCATCATATACTTGGGTTTTTTTAGATTTTTTTTTTGCACCCCCACAGAGGGGAAGTCTACAACACAGTTTTCTTCAATATTTCGGAATTTGGGGCATGCACACACATGGAGTGGTTTGCAAGTTGCCAGGTCTGGAACTCGAAACACAGAGTTGGCCATGTGTAATCCAGTGCCTTAAGCACACCACCACCCGTTGGCCTTGTTATATACTTTTTGACGTGCTTCAATAAGAAATACACAGTACCCACTACCTGTAACTTGTTCTTGACCCCTCTCAAGACCCCCAAAATTAAACTTAATCAAGTCTCTAGGTCTAATTAACAGTTTACAGAAAATACAGAAGGGGGAGATAAAATAAATAAGTTAAACAGTAAAATGAGAAAGGAGCCAGTCAAATCAAGAATTTTATAGGGCATAGGTTCCGGATCCAAAACAAATCAGTGGTATAAAAAAACACTTTAGGTAACACTTATTCAAGTGACAGTATTCCCTTTACTTTGAAATTCACCCTGATACCCCAATGGCTCAGTCCTTCGCCTAACCTGGGTCTGCTTAAGAAAATAATTGACACAACTACTCTATCTCAAATAGTACCTCATCACTCACTCTCTAACACACAAAGTAAGTTAATACTTAGCTGGCTCGTTTGAATATTGTCTGTATCTTCCATAATATTCACCATGAGAGCAGGAATTTTCTTTTTGTCAGTGTATCTGTAGTCCTAGAATAGTACCTGATACACAGTTTGCTCAATACGTATTTATTGAATGAATAGATACAGGAACAATGTGACAATAGCAAAATGGAGCCCATCACCTCCAGAAGTATAATATGTTGTAGTTCAGTGTCTCATTTTAGCCTTGACTAGAATATGTATAAACAGTGAACTTTCTGTAAGGACCTCTCATTACTGACTTAGAGAAGTTGCCTAAAATGAAGATAACATTGCAGCTACCCCATTTACGGAGCACCTGCTTTGTACTGGCTTCACTGAGAGCTTTAGCACTATGTTGAAATTAGATCCTATTCAGTCATTTAAAAAAAAAAAAACAGTGAGACCCTGACATTTGGATAAAGAGTGAACGAATATGGAAGATTTAACGTTAAGTGAAGCAAGCCAGACTATGAAAGACAGGTATTATATGTCCATCCTTAATATATACTAAAAGTCTGCACTCTATGGCAAAAATTGAAAGATTGGAGAGTGTAATGGCAGGGATGGCATCTGTGAATGCTATAGACAGTACAGGAGGGGGGTAGGAAAAAAAAGAAGCATTTAACAGACACAAAAATGAAAAGGTTTGTTGATGATACTATATATGGCAATATCTTTGATTTGACTGATATGCACTGTATTCATGCTGAGAAAAACAATTTTGTATTCTGCAAAGATGTACAGTGATTAAATGTAAATTTTATAAAAGTAAAAGAAATTAGATTTTCAAAGTCATCCCTAACTTAAATGTTTCCTGACCCTGACCTCTCTGTGGGAACTGACAGTTACCAGCTGAGCCCAAATATCACTGCCTATAATCTGTAAATATTAGAGCTCTACCTGTGACCCACTACTATATTGGGTTGCACAGAAAAATACATCATG